ATTTCTGAGATTATATTAAAAGTGAGTGGATGACTCCTCTCCGTGTTTGATTGAGTACTCCATAGATTTTTCTGATCAATGTCATTGTGTTCTAGCAGTTGAATATTGTTACAAACTATTTGACTTACAATGGTAATATCATATGGTAATTCTTTGAAGTGAATGCAAAGAACTGAACATGTTCATCACATTAACTGTTTTTATACAAAATATTTTTGAGTGTATCCAACATTAAGGCTTCAAGGTTGTGATTCAAACCATGCAGGACAATAAGGCCCACTGAATACGATTGACTTACAGCATGCATCAGATTGTTTTTGCACATCTTGCTGAATGTATCTCTAATCAAATATTTCCACTAGAGAAAATAAACCTATCATTATTTCTTGAGCACTATTATGCTCCATTGCTGTTCAGAGTTCTGAATGCTGGATCCTCAGTTGAATAGACGCAAGTCTGTCTATCTATCTATCTTTATCTCTATTTGTGTGTGTGTGTGTGTGTGTGTGTGTATACATATATACACACAAACACACAAACACACATACACACACACACACACACACACACACACACATACATATATTCAATTGAACAGATCTATAATAGAGGTCTCATTTCAGATCTTACCCATTGTAGGCTAACTCCTTAATTTCAAGTGTAAGAAGGTATATGTTTTTCTCCCGTGTTTACCACCCTTCCCAATGAATGTGAAGATCTGTTAAGGAACAGCTCCATTTTGTCCCAGGAGCCCAGCAATTTATTTTTGCATGGAATCACAAGCACATTCGCTATGTAGGAGTCTGTGTATGTGAATTCAAAGGGGCACTAATACTATTATTTCATTTCAATATGTTGGCTTCCATAAACATTTGGAATAGCAACAAAGTAAGCAATGTTGCATATTGTAAATTCGTATTTGGCAGCAAAACTGACTGTACAAAATGTTTATTAAAAGATCCCTTTCAATCTGCAATATGTCTTGTGGCCTTGATTGTCCTTTATCTGTCTGGCATGCTACTATGTAACCCCTAGCTTTGAAAGAGAAATCAAGATTGCCTGGAAATGTCCATCTGGCAGGAAACAAAGGACTGAGCTCAGGACTTCAGCGTCCTGTCCACTGACCCTTAAGGACATGCATCAGAAAATCCCTTCTATGATAACATCCTACCTTGCATGAAGAAAGAACTAGGAAAAGTGCTGGCTGCTGGTTTTGAGGATGGATAGCCGGGTGAATCCCGATTGTAATCGGCAGTGCTTGCAGAAGGGGCATAAACCTATGGACAGAAAGAAGAAGAATAAAAAGTTAAATGCACTAATATTTTTCCAAGAATTGGAATTTTAAAATGTGTTAAACGTACACGCCGCCTTAAAGCAGCTACAGATAAAAGGAAAATGAAAGAACAGTAGGTCCAATAAAAAAAGCAATATACCAATAAAGAGAACCATACAGCACCACTGTATGATTCTCCTTATTAGTATATTGCTGTAGTTAAAACCTACTTTAGCAGACAATGAATCTACTACTGAAACTCTCCTTTTATAACCTTCAATTGGACAGAACAGTGTATCATAGGGAAACAATTTTTGAAAATGTAACTCAAATGGATTATCTTAAAGAATGAGTCCAAAATCTGGAACCCAGGACTACTGTGGGACCCAAATTTGACAAAGTTATGGCCTTTTCTGCTTCACTGTACTGCCAGTCTCCAGGATCATGTGAGGATCATCATTTCCAATGTGCCGTGCCAGATTCCCACAAGGAAAGTCAACGGGAAAGATGGCAGGAAGTCTCCTCCGCTCCCACTATTTTTGCCTCCGTGTGGTCATTCTGTTTCTTTTTTAGGTCAGGAAATGTCTTTGAAACAATGACCCAACAAGGTCACGGTTTGTCTAGTACATAATAAAATGACTAAATTTTTCTCCATGAAAACCTCTCATATTGAGGGATCACACACCTGGCTCCCCTTTGCAATGAATTCAGATCCTGGAAGTATAGACTTAAAAGGCCCACCCTAGTATTCCCATCCAATATAAATCCAAAGATATATTCACAAAACAGAAAGAGAACTTATCACTCAGGATGTTTTCTGCCATCTAAATAGCAGTTTTGTGGTAAAAAAAAAAAAATCTACCAAGTAAGACATTAAAGGCTCACAATTTTACTGTGGCATGCCAGCTTTTTATTCAGTTATTTTCTTAAGAAAATTTCTTTTTGGAAAAAAAGAATAGATGGAATCATGATCCTCATGGGAAACACAAGAGATATTTGGGACCCCCTAGGAAATATGGAACATCAGATTTGAGATGAAAAGGTATACCATCAGCACAGTTACCAGAGAACCACTAAATTTTATGAACAATTTGTTTTATGGTCTCCTCCAGTTTTCTTCAACCACAAGGAACTTTAGACATAGCTTGGGCCAAGTCACCTAGTGAGTGTCTATGGTTGACAATGTGACTGAATCTTCCTGAGTATCTTTGGTCCTAGTCTGATACCCTATTATATCACATTGGCTGAATCCCGTTTATTTTCATTGCTGCAAGGAGGCAGAAAACGCTGGTCATATATTTTTTCGATCTGTTACAAATTTTCACCCCCTGTATTATCCTTTACTGCCTCTATTTTCCAATGTGAAAAAAAGCTGTGGAAGCACTTTCTTGAACATGCCTTCTCTTGGGACTTGAAGCTCTGGAAGCCAACGGAGCTGCTGACCTCAGGGAAATGAGAAGACATACATTCTGAAGTTTGATATTATTGCATGCCCTAGCACACTGTTCAAGAATGAAATATGGTAGATTGAAAAAAAATGAAGTGCTTAGGTTAGGCTGCATCTATTCAACAGACAATTTCTTCCATTCCTGAAATGAAATCTATCTAGCCCTGGAAATCTGAATTGATCTATATATCATACTTGATTTAAAAACCCAAACAGTGGGACTTATATGATTATTGCAACTAACTTGAATTTAGTCTGTACTACAAATGAATGCAAATTTGAATTTAGTCTCTACTCTTTTAAAATGAAGAATAGAATCACACATGATGAATAACTGGTATGCAAGAGAGAACAAAAAACTATATCAGAATGTTTCTTCTTGATTATATTATTTTGAATAGAGAAATATTATTATCCTAGGGAAGACACAATCATGCAGGCCCTTCTAGCCACATTAATAGCAGAACGCAAATGCAATTTACTCCCCAAATGCCTTGTCATTGCAGAACTTTGTATCTGCTCATACGTTCTTAGTTTCAACCCATAAATTCATCACCTCAGGGATGAGGATTTCTGGCAGAAAATATGAATGAAACAAGCTGTAGGAAATAAAATAGGAGTCAATAGGAGAGATACATATGCAGTTAGTCCTCAACGTATGACTGTGATGGAGCCTGCCAGTTTTTATGACCTGTTTTTGTGGCAGTTATTAAGCAAATCCATTGCTCACTGTGGAGTGTTTTTGCCAGAAACCAGAAGTAAATGTTGGTTTTCAGCGAAAATGTTAATCATGCTCATCTGACTGTGGGAGGCTGCAAACAGCTGTAAATGCAGGCCAGATGCCAAGTGCCCAAAATGTGATCATGTGACTGCGGGGGGGGCAGCCATTGGAACTTCAAAACCGGGCCATAACTATCTTTGGGGAGGGGGGGTTGCTGTAACTTCAGTTACTAAGCAACCCGTTGTAATGCAGGGACTGTCTTTACATCAGACAGCATAGATATCAATGTCTGAACTTGGGAAGAAAAAAATATTGTTGTATAGTATCATATCTGCTGTGCCTGAAAGTCAATACTTTCAGACAATAAAATAAGGCACACTTTATATCTGGAAGAATTGTAATATCATGAATGTAATTTTAAAAAAGTCTTTAAATTGCTCTATTATATGGAAGTAGAGTTCAAACATTAACAGAACAATGAAAGAAAGCAGCAAATCATTCCTTTGTTCCTAAGACTAGAAATGGAATTTCAAAAGCATGACTCAAAAGCACTGAAAGTTCTAAACATATCCCAGGATACTAAACCTGCTCATTTTTTGAGAAGCTCAAAATAACTAGTAAAAATCCAGATCAGCACAAGACCACCAAAGCAGTGTGCATGCATTTGGGAAGTTGGGGCATCTCTTTTTTAGTGCTCCACATATTTGTGAGTACAGTAAAACTTAGTAAATATGCCAAAACTTAATTTACTTAACATTTGTTTACTAATAAATTCTTTCCAGGGGTGAAAACAAATTTTCTCTATTTAAAAACTTCGATTTCTTGTAAGTGCCTGGACACTTCAGTGTTCATGAGTTGTTTTGGGGTGGGGTTTTTTTTGCATTTGTTGACTTTATATATACAGATATTTGTATATTTAATGTTTCTGTTTTTTAAGATCTTCCAATTCCAGATGGTCAGGAAGATCAAAACATTTTCATTATCTTGATGAAAACGGACCTTCCTCCCTCCATTTTGAAGCAAGCAAGCAGATCACAAACTAGCCACAGTCTTTATTTGGATATTGACAGGTTACAGCAAAGTGAATGGAAAAAATAATTACAACTACAAACCAGAGGGGGAAAGAAGAATACAAATATGCATCTTATAAATAGGACAATAGTTTGCTTCAGAGAATAAATGCTACAACCAAGGAGAGAGATCCTAAAAATAATGACTGATGACCATAAAAAAGATACGATGCTTTAGTGTATATTCTTGCATAAATGTTCTCACCATATTTTAATGCTTGGATAGAAAACATTGTTATAGCCCTGATCATAATTATTATACAGAAGTAAGTTAAAAGGCTTTTTGGGGAAGTATTTGAAATAACTTAGAGAAAGAGCTGATGCATAGAATCCAAGGGTGGGAAAATGGTAGATGGTGATGTCATTTTTAATGCTTTGTCCATTATGTTTTTGTTAATTATTTATTAAGCAATTTTATCATATGCAGAGCCCAAAGGACAATTCAGCCTTTTTTTTTGTTAAAGAACCAGAAGTGCTTCTATCATAATTAACCACTTGCAGATATATCCACATAGGCTAAGAGCAGTATAACCCTGTAATCCATCCCATTTCTATAACCCATTTTCTGGATTCACATCAAACCAAAATATATTTTTAACTGGATAGAAGGACCTGGCTCAACGGCAGGCCTGCCTTTTTTTTTTTTAAGTTGTGGTTTGCAAACTAATCTAGGAGAAAATGTGAGTGAATTCAGGGTCTAGTTAAAGTATCCCTGAGCACCAGGAGCACATCAGGAGCACAAAGAAAAGGCAGTGCTTCTGCGACAGACCTGGCTGGGCTATTTTCTGGTCTTAGGCTGTGCCATCTGGAATTGGGAAGTTTGCTTTCTCATTCAATACACTCCACCGGAGAATAACAAAGAAAAGTCACATTTAGGTTAATGGCTCCTTTAGGGATTGATGTGGCAAGCAGTAGCAATCACTTCACATTCCAAATGAATGAGAGACTGGATAGCTGAACACTGTTTCTCAACATAAAATATCGCGCACGTGCACCCATGTGCACCTCCCAACCTATTAGAACAATGAAGACTCTTTCCTCTAATTCCTTTGCTTTGTGTTTGGGGATAGCATGGATAAATACACACACACAATCTGGTAGAGACACGTTCCCTGAGTCCGAAAGCTCGGAAGACTAAACTTCTGGTTCTGATGACTGACCCAGACTGGATCCTGCAACATTATACTGGGACATGTATATCTGCCTTCATTCACATACACATACACACATACACATAGAGACTGTACACTTGTGCGTTGAGCAATGAAAAGCTCCTCTTATAGATATTTGTCCTGGACTTGTGTTTGTCTGTCTTGGTCTTCTTCGTAGGGTGCAATAGAGGACAAGGGTTGTTGAAGTCCAGCCTGAACAGAATCCAGTAAGAGGGATGTGGGGACTGGCCTTCAGAGAGGTATGTTACGAAGAATGAAATGGAAAAAAATCTGGAATATCACAGTTGTACTGGCAGAAAGTCTCTGTGTTTTCCATATTCTCACTTATAAAAGTTTCCCGAATATAGTAAAAGATTGTACGAGGGAGAAGAATATGTGAATCTTTTCTCTACATACACATAGAGATGGTTTATGAGGGTTGTGGAAATCAAAAAGAAGCACTGGACAAAAATATACCTGATTATTTTGCATAATGGGTAGAAGTTGTTCGAATGTGGTATCATGGGAATCTGAAATAACAAAAATTATTATAAATGCCTGTGTTCTAATAGTTAACTGCCCATAAGAGAACATTCAGTACTTCTGGGATATGAA